TCCTGGGTGCTGGGAACCGAACCTGGGTCTTTTGTATTAAAAGCCAATGCTCTTAACCTCTCAGCCATCTGAAAGATGCCACCCCCAGACAGGGTTTCTCTGTGTAACAGCCCTGGCTGTCCTGGAACTCTCTTTGTAGACCCAGCTGGTCTGGAACTCACAGAGATCCACCTGCCTCTGCCTCCCAAGTGTTGGGATTGAAGGCATGCGCCACCACCACTTGACTGAAAGAATTTCTTATTCCAAAAATAAATGGATAAATAAACCTGGAGCTGTTTGGACTAGTAGTGCTGTAATGTGGGTCCTGCCATTTAACTGCTGTTTTCAGAACACCTACTTTGTGCCAGGCACCAGATACAGCAAATACTGCAAAGGTGGAGAGATGTTTATGATCACTTATTTCAGATGTCAGCTTAACTGAGCCTCAGGTGCCAGATCTCTGGACAAACATGATTCTGGGTGTTCCTATGACAGTGTTTCAGGATGAGGTTACTATTAACTCAGGCTACTGGGGAAATGGGTTGGGCTTCCCCATTGTAAGTTGGCTTCATCCCCTCTGCTCAGTGAAGTATCATGGTTGTCCAACAAACAGATAAATGATTTTCCACTTTGGAGAAACAAATCAGATTCCACTGAGATACTATCTATCTATCATCATCGAGAGATAGATATAGTTATAGATATCCTGAAAAAGAAACACACACACACACACACACACACACACACACACACACACCTTGCTGGATAAGAACATATAGACCCTTGGTGGTATATAAATTTCAAGAAATACTAAGGGAAACTGTCAGTGATATCAGGAAGTGTTGTGTACCCCCAGCAACCCATCCTTGGCATAAATATTCAAGAGGCAACCCCGGGTGTATGCATCAGAAGACAGGCTCTCATATCAGCTTTTTTTTTTTTTTAAGCTGGAAACAAAGTGAATTCCCAGCAAGAAGGAAACAGATGACCAATTGTGTGCTGTCAATTGTACTTTTTCATTTGCTTGTTTTTGTTTAATTTTAAAGTCCTGTTATGTAGTCCTGGCTAGCATGGAATTTACTATAGCAGCCAGGCTGGCCTTGAACTCATGGCAATCTCCCTGCTTCAACCTTCCAAATTTCTGGTACTATAGGTATGTCCACTGCACCCAACACAGTCTCTCTCTCTCTCTCTCTCTCTCTCTCTCTCTCTCTCTGTGTGTGTGTGTGTGTTATTTTGTTTTATGTTTTAGAAAGTTTCATGTATCCCAGGCTGGCCTCAAACTCACTACATAGCCAATGATAACCTTGAACTTCCAGTCCTGCCTTTGTCTTCTGAGTACTGGGGTTACCAGTGTGTGTCAGGCACAGCTTATGTGATAATGGGGGTCAAACCCAGGATTTCATGCATGCTAGCATTCCCTTTATGAGACTGGAGCCTACTCCTGAAGCAAGGGTGGCCCTGAGTCTTCTCATTACAATGAGGACATTCAGGCTCTCTCTGGGTCACTTTGGTGAGCTAGAAGGACCTGGCTTCCTACCTCACATTTTGGCTTCTGCAAAACAAGACAGGAAGTTGGTGAGGTCAGAGGAAGACCTAAATTTGTTCAATACATTTTGGATTTTCTTTTTAAGTTGGGGACTGTAGTGATATTATAAAATATTATAACAATAACCATTACTTTTCTCTGAATTCATTTTATTTTTTATTTGTGTGTGTGTGTGTGTGTGTGTGCACAAATGTGTGTGGGTGTCGTGGAGCCGAGAAAAGGGCATTACATCTCCTTAAGTTGGCATTACAGTCAGTTGTGAGCTTATGGTATTGGTACTGGGAATTGATTGACCTCTTGGTCCTCTGGACAAGCAGTAGGTGCTCTATAGCCCCTTTGACAATTTTACACATGTATGCAACGTATTTTGATCATATCCAACCTAAATACCCTCCTCCCACTTCTCCCTGGTCTCTCAAATACTTCCCCTTACCTCAGATCACACATCAAAACTAATAAAAATGGGTCAAAGAATTAAATGCAATAGGCAAAACTGTAATATACTTTAAAAAAAAGACAGATGAAATTTATCTTGTTTAAGCAATGATTCTTGGATATGACAACAAAAGCTCTTCAATGAAAGAAGACAGATGGGCTGGAGAGATGGCTCAGCAGTTAAGAACACTGGCTGAGCACTCGGGAGGCAGAGGCAGGCGGATCTCTGTGAGTTCGAGGCCAGCCTGGTCTCCAGAGCGAGTGCCAGGATAGGCTCCAAAGCTACACAGAGAAACCCTGTTTGGAAACAAACAAACAAACAAAAAAACCAAAACAAAACACTGGCTGCTCTTCCAGAGGTCCAGGGTTCAAGTCCCAGTACCCACATGGCAGTTCACAGCTGCCTGTAACTCTAGTCCTGTGAGATCCGATACCCTCTTCTGGTGTGCAGATATACATAAAAGAAAGACAGATAATTCACAAGTTTTTTTCTTTTTAATTTTTTTTTCTTAGTTTTTTGAGACAGGGTGTCTCTATGGCTTTGGAGGCAGTCCTGGAACTAGCTCTTGTAGACCAGGCTGGTCTCGAACTCACAGAGATCTGCCTGCCTCTGCCTCCCGAGTGCTGGGATTAAAGGCATGCGCCACCAAGCCTAGCAAGTGATGGTTTTTACAAGCAGAGTTTCTATTAAATTAACACATTCCCTTGTTTTGTTTTGTTTTGTTTTTCGAGATAGGGTTTCCCTGTGTAGCTTTTCCAGACTGTCCTGGAGTAAGCTCTTGTAGACCAGGCTGGTCTCTCAAACTCACAGAGATCTGGCTGCCTCTGCCTTCCGAGTGCTGGGATTAAAGGTGTGCGCCACCATCACCTGGCTAAATTAGCACATTCTTCAGGGCAAAAATATATTTAAAATACTAAATCTTAAAGCAGAAGAAAAACATTGAAAAGAAAAACCAACCAGCATGTCTAAGACAGACTATAGAATGTCACACTCTAGAGGATCTAGAGATTCACTTAGTATTTTATAGCAATAAAATGTTAATAAAATCAGAACTATCATCAATTGGTCCAAGATTCCTCAATTTATAAAATGTTTAGTCTGCTAATTGAAGTTTTATTTTCCCCCATTTTTTATTCTTTGGGAATGCCACATCATGCACCCCAATCCCACTCATTTCCCAGTCCTTCCATATCTACCCTCCAACTTTGTAACCTCCCCCAAAAGAAAATAGAAAGAAGTCTCACCGTGGAGGCTGCAGGGTGTTATGGTGTGTCACTACTCTGCCCTTTTGTCTAACCAGCTTTACTTGTAAACGTTCATTGCAATGATTCCAGGCCTCTGTCTTCTGCCACACCATTGATACGGAAACCTCACAGAGAGTCCTCTGTTGCCCTGAGTCATGGAGGTCCTGCAGCTTTGGTTCTGCAGGGCTGGCCCCTTCACATACTCCTGCAGTTCATGGATGAGGTAATTATTGGGGTGGGCCAACTCAAAGCACTGGTTCTGGGCCTGGGTGGCCACTGAGTTGGTCAGCTCTCCCTCATCTCCACCACCAGGGCCAGCTAACTTAAGCTTTTGTTACGTAAGGATAGTTACCATACAACAATGGAATACGCAGGTAACTTTATAGTTTCATCCGTACAGTTCTACAATATTAAGTAATACAAAGACATCTGTAGATCCCCATGCTAGTACTCATGCATGCCGATCACTCCCTTTAATCTCAGCACTCTGGGGGCAGAGGCAGGACGATCTCTACGAATTCAAAGCCAGCCTGGACTACATAGTGAGTTCAAGGACAGCCAGAACTACAGAGAGAAACTCTTAAATTTTTATTATGAAAAAAATATTGTTTTTTTTTTTTTTTTTTTTTGAGATAGGGCTTCTCTGTGTAACATTGGTTGTCCTGGAGCTCACTCTGTAGATCAGGCTGGCCTCAAATTTACAGAGTTCCACTTGCCTCTATCTCTTCAGTGCTGGGATCAAAGGCAAGAACCACCACTGCCAATGGGCTGCCTTCCTTCCTTCCTTCCCTCCTTCCTTCCTTCCTTCCTTCCTTCCTTCCTTCCTTCCTTCCTTCCTTCCTTAATTCCTTCCTTCCTTCATTCCTCCTTCCCTACCTACCTCCTGACAGGTTTTCTCTGTGTAGCCCTGGCTTTAACCAGTCACCAAGCCCAGGTAAAAAAACGACTCCTTCTAAAGGATGTAGATGTGCCATAATTTCCTTTATCAAACCACAGCAGGGAACAATTTTGATTCATTTTTTCCAGGGCTTTTCTCCAGATAAGGAGCGAGGTGTGGATTAAAGATAGTTTCTGGCCTGTTGATGTTGGATGATTTCACCTAGGTACCAGATGAGCCACCCCAACCCCGCCTGTGACCTGTGCTACCATCGCGGCGGACCTTCGTTTCACTCGAGTTTCTCTGAGCACACAACGACCAAAAGCAGCAGTGAGGTGTGATGTCGATCTTCCCATAGCTAGCCAAGTGCAGCAAAATCTGCATGGGACAGAGGCAGACGCGAATTTGAGAGCAATTCCACGCATTAATTCGTTCAACAAGAACTTAGTAAGCAACTACTAGCCCAAAATTATCCATGGGAGTGCATGAAAATCAATAAAGCAAGAAATTAAAAATACAAGATGTTGGACATTGTTTCCGAAAGGAAGGAAAAACAGGCGAGAGAGACTGACAAAGATGAGCAGTTGGTGAAGCTTCCGGAAAAAAGACAATAAACAATAACAGGGAACATTCATGGGGCAGACTTGCTGGATGCTCCGCTGTATTCTGACAACTCTCAGGTCAGAACACTCTTTAAATTCAGCCAGGGCAACTGCAAACATCAGGAACGCACGGGGGCGCAGAGGTGGAGCATCTTCAACTTCAGGTCCTGGCCCCGCCCCCGGTGCCAAACCACGCCCATTTTATTAGCGTTCTCAGCCCTCCCCTTCCGCCCTCCTCCACTCAGCTAGGTCTCGGTTGTCCCTGTGTCTGGGCGCGGTTGTGCGCAGGCGCAAAGCACAGAGTGCGCAGGCGCAGTTCACAGCGCAGTGCTCAGGGCGACGTGGCGGGCGGGAGTACGGAAGCCGCTGGGAGAAGCTGCTCTTACCGCTGCTCTGAGCATCTCCCTGCTGCGTGGACTTTCCCCTGGCACCATGTTGAAGAAATTCGACAAGAAGGACGAGGAGTCGGGTGAGGGACCCTTGAAAGCCTGGGGAGGCCAGATCTTCGCACAGATTCCTGGGGTCTTCCTGGGTGCTCTTCCGGGCCTCTGTCAGAACCAGAGCCGAGGCCCAAAAGGGGCAAGGGCTTGTGCGCAGGTCCATAGCTGTCCTCGGAGGGGACAAGCTGTTCTCGCTCTCCAGCTCTGGACAGGATTGCTGCATGACCTTGTGCATGTCACGCTCTTTTCTGGGCCTCAGTTTCCCCATCTTATTAGAGGAGGGGCGCAAGCTGGATGCTCCTCTGTATTCACATCCCACCTCTTGGTACTTACCAGAGAGCTGCGTGGGTACCAGCCAGTCTTGGCGTAACCAGTTCTGCAGCTAAGAATCCTGACTGTTTCATTCATTCAATAAACCATATATACTGAACATCAGGCACCTCACGGATCCTGATACTGCCAAAGCTAAAACCAGTGGGACACTCAATACCTGTAGTAGGAATATTAGAATGGTCACGTAGTGGAGGGACCAGACAGCAACCAGATAGTCACACACATAATTAATTAGAAGTGTAACATCTGCTATCGGGGACACTCAAGTCACAGGTTAGTTAGTGTTTGTTTTCACTAGTGCATAGATTCACTCAAGTTCTGGTTGTATGAATGAATGCAAAATGTGGCACCGTGTGAGCAAATGGTCTGGGGAAGAGGGGAGTTCCCTTAACAAGATTTATAGACAGATAGTAGAGCCTTGGCTACCACTGGTAGATGATACAGACTTTTCCCCCTTCCCTGTGTTTGGTAGAGTCTTGAAATTTAGGGTCAGGGTTTGGGGATGGAACACAGTTGGTAGAGTGCTTGCCTAGCATGGGTGAAGCCCTGTGTTTGGTCCACAGCACCACATAAACCAGGAGGTGGAGGCAGGAAGATCAGAAGCTCAAGATTTTCCTCTCCTACGTTCCGAGTTCAAGTCCAGCATGAGACTCTGTCTCAAAAAAGAAAAAGAAGGAAAGAAAGTAATTCAGGATCACAACCTGTAATCAGTCTTCTCTGTTCACTGTAGGTGGAGGCTCCAACCCCCTTCAGCATCTGGAGAAGAGCGCTGTACTCCAAGAGGCAAGTTCTGTCACACCTGTCCCATCTGGTCAGGAGTACGTGCCATGCTGTCAGAATAGTAACATATGTAAAGTGCTGCTTGTTCATTTTATTTGCTAAGTATCCGTAGTCAGTAGGGCAGCACAAGCAAAGATTGCAGGTATGGTTAGTAGATGGATTAAGACAAACTCAGGGCTGGAGAGATGGCTCAGTGGTTAAGAGCACTGGCTCCTCTTCCAGAGGACCTGGGTTCAATTCCCAGCACCCACATGGCAGCTCACACCTGTCTGTAACTGGTTCCAGAGCTTCTGACACCCTCACAGAGAATATATACAAGCAAAACACCAGTGTACATAAAAGAAAATAGAAAGGAAGAAAAGTAAACTCTTACCATTTTGGAACACATTTATCTGGACTAATGAGTTATTAGTATACACCCTGTGGTTCCTCAGGTCCTTCATGAACTGAGGGTTGGCTATGGAAGTGTACTAGGCTAGAAGTAACGGTTACTTCTTCACAGGCTCGGGTCTTTAACGAAACTCCCATCAACCCTCGGAAATGTGCCCACATCCTCACCAAGATCCTTTATCTCATAAATCAGGTAACAAGATGAAGGTGGCAGGGAATACTGGGTGTGTGTGTGTGCTTGTGTGCATGTGTTTGTAAAAGTTAAGGGATGCACCCTTAAACTTTTCACAACTCTGTGGTTGGAACTAACAGGCCAGTCGTGGGTCCTCTGAGTTTCCAGCTCTCACTTATGGCCTGGAGTCCCTGCAGGCTCTGAAGGTCTACCCTGGCTGATCTCCTGTCCCAAACTGAGACATTTTTTTATGATTACCACAGGGGGAGCACCTAGGGACCACAGAAGCAACCGAGGCTTTCTTTGCCATGACCAAACTCTTTCAGTCCAATGATGTAAGTACTTCAACCCCTGCTTTTCTGGAGATGTGAGGCCTGTGACGGTATGGTGGAGGACTACCTGTCAGCATGGACTGCCTTCCACAGGTGGCAGGCCTCTCCTTGCCCTGGGCCTCTCTCACGGAGCGGGATTGATAGGGCTTTCTCTCTGTCTTTCAGCCCACACTGCGCCGCATGTGCTACTTGACCATCAAGGAGATGTCTTCCATCGCAGAGGATGTCATCATTGTGACCAGCAGGCAAGTCTTGGGCAGGGGATGGCTCTTCTGATGGGATACATTGACAGAGGCAACATGTACAGCAAAGGGAGTTTGGGCATATGGTCAATGCCCTTTCCTCCTAAGTCCACCCCCCTGCCAGCTTCTAGAGTGTTCTGTTTCCTTCTCACTTGTCTGACCCCCTGCTCCTCCTTAGACATACAGCCAGCGTGGAACTAGAATTATAGCTCACATTCCATCTTGAGCTCCGATGGAAATTGAACCCAGGACCTCTGGAAGAGCAATCAGTGCTCTTAACCACTGAACCAAATCTCCACTCCCTTCTTATTTTTTTCTTGACACTGCTATGCAAGGAGGGGTCCATACAGCCATATTCAGGTGCATTATGGCGGTATTTACTGGGACAGGAGAGATGGCTCAGTGGTTAAGAGCACTTGCTGCCTTTCCAGAGGATCTGAGTTGGTTCCTAGCACCGACATCAGGAGGCTTAAACTCCAGCTTCAGAGGAATCTGATGTGGTGGAGGGCACCTGCACTTATTTACACACAATCCCATGCAGACACAGACACCTACACGTTACTAAAACTAATAAAAATAAATCTTAAAACTTTTTTACAAAGATGATACTGAATGTGTATCAGCCCATGTATGGTTCTGGGATTATAGTAGCAAACAAGAAAGCCATGGTATCCTGTGACATTACTTTTCCTGGGGACACAACACACGTCTCCTCACTCAAGATAAAGAACCCACAGCAGCCCAAAGTCAGTTTGGGGTGAACCAATGTGTTTTATTGGGGTTGCTTACAGTAATATGGGTGAGGGTTTACTCTCAGGAGCAGAAATGACTCAAGGACAGCTACATCACCAAAGCCTACCTTACCCCAGCATGGGTGACAGCTCACAAAGCTGGGAACCTAGAGCACACAGGCACAGCCTGTAGGCAGCTCAACAGGTTGGAGAGTGTCTTTTGCAGGTGCCTCAATTGGGCTAAAACTATTCCGGGCAGTTTGACTGGTGTCTGCTTCTTCCAGGCAGCTGGTCTGCTCTGAGAGTCTGCTGCGCAGCTCAGCTCTTGGTCTGAGAAGGAAGCTCAGCTTTTATTGTTTACTGTGGCAGGGCGGGGCCTAGTGAATCTGGTCCCATTCAGGGATTTCCTGAAGGTATTTTGAATTGTTTACCTTCCTGCTTAAGAAACTTTTCTGGGGCTGGAGAGATGGCTCAGAGGTTAAGAGCACCGACTGCTCTTCCAAGGGTCCTGAGTTCAATTCCCAGCAACCACATGATTGCTCACAACCATCCGTAATGAGATCTGGTGCCCTCTGCTGGTGTGCAGATATACATGGAAGCAGAATGTTGTATACATAATAAATAAGTAAAATCTTAAAAAAAAAAAAGAAACTTCTCTGAAGGATGGAATGTTTCAATATTGGAGGACACTTATGCAAACATAGCCTCCATAGCCTCAGGATCTACATGCAAATAGCAGGTTTATGGAACTATAATGGGCTGTGAAAGCAGTACAGGAGGACACCAGCTTGGCTTTGTACCCAGAAAAGTCCTCCAAAATGGTCTAGATTCTGAAGAAGTGAGGCCCAGACAGAACAAACCACAAGTGGAAAGGCCTGAGAAGAGAGGACAGTTCACTGAGAAGCTGCTCAGTTTGATGCCTTCAGAAACCTCGAGCACATGGTGATCCTACTGCGGAGTGCTGGGATTACAAGTGTGTACCACCATGCCCAGCTCTGTTTTGAGTTCTGTAAATCTCCCTGGAGCTGTTGTTTGGTTAGAGCTTGGCTTGGAGGAGTGAGAACAGAAGGGAACAATACTTAGGAGGCTGGTGTGGTAAATTTAGGCAGGGGGGGGTGTAGATTAGAAAGGGGGATGACTTGGGACCCTACATGTCAACAGTGCCTCCTTTCCCTACCAGTCTGACAAAAGACATGACTGGAAAAGAAGATAATTACCGTGGTCCTGCTGTGCGAGCCCTCTGCCAGATCACTGATGTGAGTTCCTCCCCTCTCTGCCTGCTTCTCAGGCTCTCCTAAGTGAGGCCTCGTCCCAAGCATACTCTTGGTTGTCTGCAACACTCTGAATCAGGTGGAGGAGCAGGGTGGGAGTGTCTCATAGAAGCTTCTGAAAATGTTTGCTTTGCTCCACACCCCATGGTTTCCACGCCTTAGCTCGCCTTCTCCCACCACAGAGCACCATGCTGCAGGCTGTTGAGCGCTACATGAAACAAGCGATTGTGGACAAGGTACCCAGTGTCTCCAGCTCTGCCCTCGTATCTTCCCTGGTATGTAGCTGTGACTGGGCCTGCAGGGGTGGGTTGAAGGTAGAATAAAATGTCTGAGAGTCTTGTTAGAAGAGAACCAGAAACTCAGGGTCCATTGGGAAGAGCTGGGGTGAGTGACTTTGACTTCACACCCCCCCCCCTTAGATGGCAGATTGGTGGGACTGGGATCAGGTGGGAAATCTGCCAAGTGGGGAGAATGAGGGTGGCAGCTGAGCTGTCTGTTTATGGTCTTGGGATCAGGACAGTGAGGAGGCTCTGACTGCATCTGAGAGGGGACATGGGTATGACAAGAAGGGCACCCTTCCTTTTAACTCCTTACCAAATCCCACTGCTCACAGCATCTGCTGAAATGCAGCTTTGATGTGGTCAAGCGATGGGTGAACGAGGCCCAGGAGGCGGCGTCCAGTGATAACATCATGGTACAGGTGAGAATGATGCTGAAAACAAGCAGGTGCATCACACACTTCCATTGTTCACAATGAACTGGTGGCCTCTGGCCAGGACAGGCTGTCATCCTTTCGTCATTGGGTGTGGGGAGATGGGGACTTGGGAGAAGCGGCCAGGGCAGCACATGGGTATTTGGGAAAGAGATTCTTGCTGGAGCTGCTCAAATAGCCAAGTGTGTTGAAAGGCAGGTGAGAATATTTTGTAGTACAGGCTGTTAAAGCCTGCCTGGCCTAGGTAGGCCAATGGCCATCCAGTCCAAACTTTTGCTGAGCTGGCTCTGTTAGTGATGTGAGGTTTCCATCTGAGAAACTTTCCTCAATAACCTAACCTGGTCTGCCTTTCTCCCAGTCTTAGTTTCTTTGGAAAGTTGGAAAAGCAAAACTTAAATGAGAAAACACACATACTGAGGGATGGGAAAGGTTGGTCTGTCCCTTTCCTTCAGTGATTGCCATTCCCTCCGCTCTGTGTAGATCTTGCCTTTGGGGTCACCATTGACCCTTCAGCACATCTCTAAGGGTTAGAGACACCCACATGGAATGCACATACACCTGCCATACTTTGGCCCTCAAATGTCATTTGACTAAAAGTGAACAGAAGTGACCTTAGTACCTTACATCTCTATAAGTAGCATCCCTGGGTTTCTAGCCCTTCAGACCCAGCTTGGCCATGAATGGGTCAGATAAGCAGGGACACTCAGGCCAATCCTCTGGGTGTTAGAATGGTTTGTGTCCCACAGGACAATGTTCAGGTCTTGTCCCCAGCTCTTGGGCAGCTCATTCAATTCTGGCATCTTGTCCCACATAGTCAGGGTGCCTGCAGGGTCCTTGCCAAACCTCTGGTGCAATGTGAGCATCACGTACGTGGTGTGTTGAGCGTTATGCCGGAGTTGCTTTGCAGAGCACTTGGGGAAACTGCTCCTGCCCCTATGTGGATGTCACTGCGATACTTTCTTAAAATAAGAAGGGTGGAGCCAGAGACATACAGTGGCCACAGTGCTGCCCAGCAGGAGACCTGGCCTTATGTGCTTGTTTCTTGTGCTGCCTCTGTCCTGTAGTACCACGCACTAGGACTTCTGTACCATGTACGGAAGAATGACCGTCTGGCCGTGAGTAAGATGATCAGTAAGTTCACCCGTCATGGCCTGAAGTCCCCCTTTGCCTACTGCATGATGATCCGAGTGGCTAGCAAGCAACTGGAGGAAGAAGATGGCAGGTGAGAACACTGGTCTCCTCCAGATAGATGATGCCTCCTGCATTGCTGGATTGTCCCCAACTTCTCATTGCTATGTTCTTTTGTAGCCGTGACAGCCCACTGTTCGACTTCATCGAGAGCTGCCTGCGTAACAAGCATGAGATGGTGGTGTATGAAGCTGCCTCAGCCATTGTCAACCTGCCAGGCTGCAGCGCCAAAGAGCTGGCCCCCGCCGTGTCAGGTCTCCATAAGTCCCTTCCCTGCTGCATAGTTTGTCTGCTGGGCACAGGCTCTGAGCCAGAGATTGTCTTCAGACAGACCATGATCTAGGAGTATCACAGGCATTGCTTTTGAAGTGGGCTGTTTTCAGTTCCTTCTCAGTGCAGAAGAGATAAGTGTGTGGTCCATACTAGCACTGCTAGGCTAGCTGGCTCCAGAGGAAGAGCTGGGGTTGGGGCCCAGGACCTGTAAAGCCTAGTGTGTTCATAGGGTAGCACTGGAGCTCACAGCTGGACTCACAGGCAATGTTCTTAGCAGGTGGGCAAGCCCCTGTCTTCTGACCTTCCTTTCCGGGCTTCACTGTCCTTCTGAAACATGAATGGCTCTCTTTTCTGTAGGTAGTAAAGGCAGGGTCTGTACAAGCCATCCAGCCCAGTATGAGACACTAGCATGGATTCAGTGGGTGTTACTAAGAAGAACCCAGCAGCTTTGTGTTATTTCTGCTCTAAACATCAAGTCAATGCCTTGTCGAGCTGTTCGATGCTGGTGTTAGGATGGGAGTAGTGAGTGTGCACCCAGAGCTTAAAGAGGTGAGGGGCTGGTGCAGAACATTGTCTGTGTTGAGAGTTCAAAAAGGGTCTACATTGGATCCCAAGAATCAGAGAGGGATGAGCACCTAGCCAGGACCAGCCCAGAGGTGAAGGCGTGTGACAGGAGGGTTGGAATGATTGGGCTCTTTTTCTAGAGCTCCCTACAGTGGTGGTATAAACCTGGTGGAAAGATGGGGTTCAAGTATGGAAGGAGCAGTCTCCCTTCTTCCCTGTGGACAAACAAAAGAATAGGTGCATTCACTTACCGACTAACGTGCTCCTATGATATCCCCATATTTCCAGAATAATGAAAGACATAAAGTATAGGCTTTAACAGATATGTTATCCTATTTTAAGAAAATGTTAGTTCCAAACAAATGACAAGAGAATAAAAGCTAAGCAATAATGAAAGGAAGTTGGATATTCCAGAATACAGTCCCATCCAAGGCAATGCTTGAACATAGACTTTAGCTGTGAACGTAGGAGAGATGTGGCTAAGTGCTTGGGCTGCAGATGTGGACAGCCCTTGACTTTAACCCTGCTCCTCTCAGGTGGATGCAACTAAAAGTCACTTTAGTTGCTTTGCTGCGTTTTCTGGGAGTTGGGAGATGACAGGCATGTCACCCACTCACCAAGTGCCTAGCACATGGCAGGTACTTAGTATGTATCAATAGTTGACACCTATGGGGCCCTTACTGACAAGGTTTAGGACAATGCAGTTCTGTTGGCCTCTGCTGAGCTTATGTGCGGCAGGCCTGAGAGCTTGTTCACCTTTGATCCCATGCTGTTCCCCTGGGGCCCCAAGTATTCCACTGTCTGTCATCGAGGGCAGCCTGACATGTGTGTCTGTCTCCCTGCAGTGCTCCAGCTTTTCTGTAGCTCACCCAAGGCTGCTCTTCGCTATGCTGCTGTCCGAACCCTCAATAAGGTAAGAGTTGGGTGGAGAAGAGTGGGTGGGGCTGGCCTGGCTGATAGTAGGTCTCTACCCTCTGAATGGGCTGGGAGAAGAGTAGACATGGTGCCCAAAGGACCTCTGGCCAGGCCTACCCTGTAGGTGAAATGACAGAATTGGGTACTATTGCCCGGTGTCTCTATCCTCCCTCTGCAGGTGGCCATGAAGCACCCGTCCGCGGTGACTGCCTGCAATCTGGATCTGGAAAACCTGGTCACAGACTCGAACCGTAGCATCGCCACATTGGCCATCACCACCCTCCTCAAGACAGGGAGTGAGAGCAGCATTGACCGCCTTATGAAGCAGATTTCTTCCTTCATGTCAGAGATCTCAGATGAGTTTAAGGTACCAAGAACCCTCACAGCCTGCAGTCCCCAAGACAATGGGGGATGTTCTGAACCTGCTGTCCACGCCACCGGCGTCCATGCCACTGCTTGGAGTGTACAGGCCTGCCTTCAGGGCTTTGGCCCTTGTCCCTTTGAACCTTAAGTTCTGTGCTTTTTAGGCCGGGAAGGAGTTTGCTTATTGATTCTTGAAGTTTTTATTGAGCTCTTGCTGTCTGTTCTAGAGTTTCAGGAGAGGGGGCAGCAGTGGACAGGACAGATACCTTCTCTTGGGAAAGATAAGCTTTAACAAATGAACAAATGTGTAAACAGGCCATGACCTGAGATGCAGATGCAGTGAGGAGCTGGCACTCCATTAGCGGCTGCTGGGGACGCATGGATGAGGAAGGCAGTGGGGCCAGAAACAAGGGCCGGATCGGATGTTGGGAAAGAGTTCCAAGGAGACAAGGAGACAGGTCAGCTAGGGTCAGATGCTTTGGAGATGTCAGCACAGGCTGGGCTATTCACTGCAGACCTACTGCTTGTGATAGTTTTTTTTTTTTTTTCTAGACAGGGTCTTATTCCAGAGCTCAGGTTCAATAGAACCCAGGATAGTGTCAACCCTGGAGCAGTCCTCCTTTTATTGTCTCCCAAATGGTTGAGGTTACAGATGCCTGCTTCCATATCCAGCTTATATTTTTCTTTGTTTTTTTTTTTTTGTTTTTTTTTTTTTTGTTTTTTTTTTAAAGGCAGGGTTTCTCTGTATAGTCCTGGCTGTCCTGGAACTCACTCTGTAACCCACATCCTCCTGCCTCTGCCTCCCAAGTGCTGAGATTTAAGGCGTGTGCCACCACTGCCCGGCATGCTTTTTAAATTTTTACTTTAAGATAATTCATAGGAGATCGCAAATATATAAGAGAAAAGGTCTTGGGCATTTCTCTCAACTGCAATGCCCACATCTCGCATAGTCATAGTGTCAACAAGAAACCAGCAATTGTACAATCTAGAGTGCTTACTCAGATTTCATTGGTTATGAGGTGCACATGTGATGCCTTTGAAAATTACTGCCACAGTTAGACTCACCATCATTAGACAGAGCTTGTACACTCCATTCCCAGACCCTCATCCCTGATTCTTGACAGTCTCTCATCTATTGGTATTTTCCATAGTTAGATTATTTTAGTGCAACCTAAATAGAGTCATGAAATGTGTCCCTGGGGAGTTTTCATCAGAGCAGAGAATGATAGGAACAATTTTTGATATAGCAGGATAAATCCTAGAGTGTGGGTTGTGAAACGTGGACAGAAATCTACTCTGCCTGTGGGCTGTATGAAGGCATATCGATAGGCTGATGGTGTGGTGAGATTTGCACATGAGATCAACCCCTCTGGACAGTGGAGGATGAGTTGGAGGAGAATCGTATCTCTGAAGATGAAGGGGCTTAGAAGCAGCAAGAGCAATGATGTAAGAGCAATGTGAAGACTTGAGCCAGTTACAGGAAGAAAGCAGAGGGAAGAAATGAGATTGCCAAAGAGACCTCGAGAAGAGAACAGAGTGGAATATTGGGTGAAAATGTCCACGGCAGGAGAGAAGCAGGCCAGGCAGGGTTTGGGGAGCTAGACCTGCACTTGGGCTACTGAGACTGCCATGTTTTCCTGCCCTGGGGGACCTCAGGGCTGTGTTCCCCAGCATGGAGTGATTGGTGTTCCTCCTGGTTTCTTGCTCTTGTGTTGGGCCTAGAGCATAGTCTTGCCCAAGGAGGGACTCTGTGACTAGGATTGTCAGGGGCTGCTACTCATATGTGTCTCTCTACCCCAGGTGGTGGTTGTCCAGGCCATCAGTGCCCTGTGCCAGAAATATCCTCGGAAACATGCCGTACTCATGAACTTCCTGTTCACCATGCTAAGGGAAGAGGTAAGAGTGGGGCCACTGGGGTTCTGCTCGCTTTTTTGGTGCAGAGAGTGGCCTGGCTGCCAAGATCCGTTTCTTGGTATTAAGCTCAGAACACCGTTAAACAGCTAGTTTCCTGGAGCCTGCGGCACTTAAACTCCCATGCACAGATGATGCAACAGCACCAGCCGCTCATAATTACAGTAGTAATGTATGACTCACCAGCATGGCAACAAGTCCAGCGGGTGCCCCAAGGCAGTGCCTGTGCAGAAAGCAGGATGTCAACCTATTGCAAAGTCAAGCTTAGAAGACTGACTGCATTCAGGATCTTGGAAATTGTGCTAAAAACATGGCTTTGGTCCTGGAGTTTGTTGGTTTTTGTTGTTGTTGTTGTTGTTTGTTTTGAGAAAGGGTATCTACATAGCTCTGGCTGTCCTGAAACTAACTATGTAGACCAGACTAGCCTTTAACTGACAGAGATTTACCTGTCTGTCTCCAGAGTTCTGGGATTAAAGGCTTGGTCCACTATGCCTGGCTGGTTCTCTTTTTGTGCTTGACATGAATCTGTGTTTTTGTTTGTTTGGTTTTTTGAGACAGGGTTTCTCTGTGTAGCTAGACCAGGCTGACCTCCAACTCAAAGACCCTCCTGCCTCTGCCTCTCAAGTGCTGAGATTAAAGGCATGCGCCACCACTAGGCTTGTTTGTTTTTTATTGTATGAACAAAATTGGCAAATTCATAGGTTCAAAAGCAAGTGTGTATTGGGGGCTGGAGAGATGGCTCAGCAATTAAGAGCACTGGCTGCTCTTCCGGAGGACCTGGGTTCAATTCCTAGCACCTACATGGTGGCTCCCAACTATCTGTAACTCTAGTCCCAGGGGATCTGATGCCCTCTTCTGACTACTACAGGCACCAAGTATACATGTGATTCAGATATACTTGTAGGCAAAATACTCATACATACAAAATAATTTTTAAAAAACAAACAGTGGAACAGATTTGGCCCATAGATACACAGAACCCTTTACCCCAGTCCAAGGTGGACCAAGGGCCAACAGGAGAGCAGCTTTTGCATTGGTTCCTTGGGCTTTCTCAAGGTATTTCTCAAGGATAAGGTATTGATGCCTTAACAGCCATCAGCTGCAACCCCACTGTTAGAGAGTATGTGGGATATGTGGTCTCCTGATTCTCCTAACAGTCCTTGTCACTAATATTTTAAGAATGAGGACTCTGGGGCCAGTGAGATGGTTCAAGTGGTAGAAGATGCTTTGATTTTAATCCCTGGATTCATGGTGGAAGCAGAGAACCAACTCCTGAAAGTTGTCTTCTGACCTCCATGTTTGTGATGTGACATGTATAGGCCTGCACTCACACACATATATTACTTATACACAAAATGGTTGGGTGTGTGTGTTTTAGAAGGACTGGAGAGAGAGAGCTTAGTAGTTAAGAATACATACTGTTCTTTCAGAGAACCCAAGTTTGGACTCAGTATTTAGCACTTTATAACTGTTTATAACTCCAGCTCCAGGGGATCCAACAGCATCTTCTGGCTTCTATGGGTCAGTCTGTACCTGTACTTACACACACATACCCATACTCAGGCACACGCACGGGCATGCCCCCCCACACACACACATTTTAAAGAAAGGAAGAAGAGGATTCTGGGTGTAGCTCGATTGGTAGAATGTTTGCCTAACATGCACAAAATCCTGATTTTGATTCCAGCACTGAATAAACTTGGTAGCTGTCCCAGCACTTGAGAGGTAGGAACAAGGTTAAGAGCTCAAGTTTATCCTTGGGGACATAGTGATTTTGAGGTTAGCCTAGGATACACTGGACCCATGTAAAGGAAACCGAATCTGAGACTATTGTGACCTGAATGCAATGACTTGCCTCCCAGGGTATCCTGAAGAACAAAGAAACACTTTGTGGTATCTGAGCCAGGTGCCTCTCGCCCTGACCCATGCTTTTCTCCATGAAAAAGCCCATGCTTTGTCTTCTCAGCTCTCTGGCTGCCTCCCAGAAAGCTACATGCTTTACATAGCAGTCAGGTACTGGCTTTACTGAGGGGACACAGCACTCAGACTTATGAACTTGCCTCTCTCCTGCAAACATGTGTCATCTTGTCAGAGCCAGTGACTGCTACAGCCGAGATTGAAATAGCATTTGAGGGTTTGAGGTGTGTGGTACCTTACTGACCTGTGGCTCACACACTGAGCAGATAGCACCTTTGTCTTCTTTTCCCCTTGAGATTAGTTCTTACTATGTAGTCCTGACTCACCTTAAATTTAGGATTGTCCTACCGCAGCATGTTAAGTACTGGAATCACAGGCATGCACCTGCCTGGTTCAGATCACTCTCCCCCCCTCCCCACTCTTCAGAACAACCTGTGAGGCAGGCACACTAATGGCTGAGTCCTTAGAAGTCAAGTGAGAGGCCAGTGACATGGCTAAAGGCACTTGCCACCAAGCCTGATGGCCAGAGATCAGAGTTCCACCACTGAAACTCATAAAGCTGAAAGAGAGCCATGACAGAAGGAGAGAAGTGACTTCTACACGTTGTCTTCTGACTTACACGTGCTCTGATGCATGCCCATGAGCACACACGGGCTGGATGGCACTTTCTTCTCTCCTGCAGCCTATCCAGCCCATTCCTGTGTCATCACAGTCCACAGAATACAAGTTTGGGGTAGGAAGAGTGCTGGGGATCAAATCAGGGCCTCTGTCCTCTCACCTACACCCTTCCTTGATCTGGGGTCTACATATGTGTACGTGCGTATGTGTGAGAGTTGGAATTACAGGATTATACAGCCGTGTTTAGCTCGTCTCATAACTTTTTAGTTTTCAAGTTTAGTTTCATGGGATGTATGTATGTCTAAATGCAGTGTCTGTGCAGGCCAGAAGGGGGTGTTAAGATCCACTGGAGCTGGAGTTACTAGCAGCTGTGAGCTGCCTGATGGGGGTGCTGGGAACTGAACTGTAGTCCTCTGGAAGAGTAGCAGGTGCTCTTAACCACTAAGCCATCTTTCCAGGCTACCCCCTTGATAAATTTTTTTTCAGTTAGATTTGTTCGTTTTATTTTATGTGTGAGTGTTTTGCCTGTATGTATGTATGTATGTATGTATGTATGTATGTACACCATGTGTATGCTTGGCGTCCTCAGGGATCAGAAGAGGGCATGAGATCCCCTGGAACTGGAGTTATGGATGGTTGTGAGTCAGTGTGTGGACGCTGGGAATCAAACCAATTTCTCTGTATGAACAAGTGCTCTTAACTGCTGAGCCCCTCTGGCCCCAAGTCTTTTGGTTTTTAGCTAAGACTGTATCTATTAAACACTGTCTCCCCATCTGCCTCTTCTAGCCTTTCACCCACAGTTCTTCTGTGTTTATGAATCTGACTGCTTCAGTTATCTTGAGGGGAATCAGGAAGTGTTCTTCTTTTTCTGCCTCCCTTATTTCCCTTATAAATGTCCTTGGATTTCATATATATATTATAACATGTATCATTTTCTTTTTCTTTTTTTTCTTTTCTTTTTTTTTTTTTTCGGTTTTTCGAGACAGGGTTTCTCTGTGTAGCTTTGGAGCCTATCCTGGCACTCGCTCTGGAGACCAGGCTGGCCTGGAACTCAGAGAGATCCTCCTGCCTCTGCCTCCCGAGTGCTGGGATTAAAGGTGTGTGCCACCAACGCCCGGCTCATTTTCTTCTTTTTCAATGCTGAATAACATCCTTTTAAAGTACTGACTACAGTTTGTCCACTCATACTCCTGTGAACACTTGGGTTGCTTCTGTGCTGTCACTGTTGTGACAGGTGCTTCGAAGATTATGAGTGTAGAGAGGTGTTCTGTTGCTGATACCCAAAAGTGGAATCACTGGGTTAGCTAATTCTGTGCTTGATACCTTGAGGAACCACTGTATTGTTTTCCACGTGGGGTGTGCCACCCATTCTGCCTTTTTTCATGTCTCCCATAGCCAGGCTTTCAGTTTCAGGTGAGTGAGTCTGTTAGGTATATAGCAAGCGAGGGTAAAGGAGAAAACAGCAAACTGCAGGTAGACAGTAGAACATAAAGTTATACACACCATCCTGCAGGAGTGCTTGGGAAAGCCATGGGGAACAAGTCATTGAGGCCCTTGTTGACAGAGAGTCCCCTACAGACTGTCTCCTGTCAGGTGAGGCTTCCAGTGAGTCACATCCACCACAGGTGTTTCTACTGTGAGATAAGCAGTAGGGGAGCCTTTTGCTTTGGGAACGAACTGCTTAGCCATCTTAAGGGACAGTGTGATTTTACTTAAGTGATTTACTCTCCTGTTCTCAGTGGTGCTGTTTTCACTCTTTGAGCTGTATTGCTGTTCTCCTTTGTCTTCTCACGGGGCAGGTGACACCATCCCTGGACATGGGTCTTGAAAGACAAAACATGCTTGGATCTGAGGCCGGCGTCGGGGTAGGGGTAGGGAGCAGCCCTTCCTCCAGAGCCAGCTTCTCACTGGGCTTTAAAGCACATGGCAGTTCTCTAATAGAGTGTATCTTTCTCTCAGCACGAGAATTGGGGTCCAGAAGGTTCCCATTAAGCTTTCTGCCCTGGTGAGTTTCCAACACAGACAGAAGCCTAGGCTCCTGTTTCCAGCTGTGGAGCAGTGTCTTGGGCCAGGCTAGGCTCTGGGCCTCCCTCAGCTGACCTTGGCTGTGGGAGGATGTGAGCTCCTTGCTCAGCTAGACATTTGTCTCTGCAGGGTGGCTTTGAGTACAAGCGCGCCATAGTGGACTGCATCATCAGCATCATTGAGGAGAACTCAGAGAGCAAGGAGACGGGACTGTCACACCTGTGTGAGTTCATTGAGGACTGCGAGTTCACTGTGCTGGCTACCCGGATCCTGCATTTGTTGGGCCAGGAGGGGCCCAAGACCAACAACCCCTCCAAGTACATTCGCTTCATCTACAACCGTGTGGTCCTGGAGCATGAAGAGGTTCGGGCAGGTAGGTCTGAGCTGGGGTGATCCTGGGCGCTTAGCTTTTTTGCGGTGAATTTGCCAGTAAAAGGACCCAAACCCCCAGGGGCATGACCTCATGAGCTGTTTTTTATATTGTCAGAAAGACTTTATATGTCATGCATCTGGATAAATGATTTTCTACAATTTAATTTTTTTTAAAGGTTTCCTGTTTCGTGCTTAGAGGGTTTTTTTTGCCTTTTTTTATTTTATTTTATTTTTGAGATAGGGTATTGTTATATGGCCAGGCTGGCTCGTACTCGAAACCCTCCCGCTTCAGTCTTCTGTATGCTGGAATCACAAGTATGCACCACCATACCTAGGGTTTTTTGTTTTGTTTTGTTTTTAAACTTGAGATATAACACACACATAAAATTTACCTTTTTATATAAACAGTGATCTGGCAGTCTACCATCTTGTTCTTAATTTCATCTTATTTTCCATTTCCTACTTCTGTGCATCCTTAAGAAGATTTTCTTCTTTTGGCAGCTGGTGTTCACTATGTGATGGTTTATTTTCTCATATGCTGTACTCTCAGGCCTATTTACATACACACGAAGCTGTTCTGAGGTGAATAGCCTGACAGTGTTGATAGTGTCTGTGGCCTTGATCATTTGAAGGTAGCCCGTAGAGCCCTAGAACAGAAGCTACTGGTCTTCCCTTTTCTCCAATAACAGGAAGAAGTAGTTGAGGCCTGGGTAGCACCAGGATCCACCAGGATTGCACAAGAGTTGTTCTAGGATCGTATTGGTGCCACCCACTACCTCTTCTGCATGAATTCTCTGAGCACTAGTGGGCACCCTCAGCTCTCTGGCAGGTGGGACTGAGGAGCTGTTGGTGAATCATATTTACCTTGGAACTAGGTGCAGTGAGTGCTCTGGCCAAGTTTGGAGCCCAGAATGAAGAGATGTTACCTAGCATCTTGGTATTGCTGAAAAGGTGAGTCTGGGTGCAGAAGCCAGAGAGCATAACAGTGTCCCCTTGGTCCAGTCCACTGCTTTGTCCTTCCAAAGAATTTTTTTCTTTCTTTTTTTTTGGGGGGGGGGCAGGGTTTCTCTATGTAGCCCTGGCTATCTTGGAACTTGCCATGTAGACCAGGCTGGCCTCAAACTCACTGAGATCTACCTGCCTCTGCCTCCTAAGTGCTGGAATTAAAGGTGTGTACCACCATGCCCAGCAAAGATTTAATTATTTTTATCTCATTTGTGTGAGTTTTTGCCTGTGTGTATATCTGTGCACTGTGTGTGTGGTGCCTAGTACCTGCTGAGTCCAGAAGAGGGTGTAAGTATGTCTCCTATGAGCTCAAGGGAACCTCTGTGTATTTTGTGACATTTGGTTTGTCTTCTTTCCTGGGTGAGTTCTTTATTAGGGAGCTGTCTTCCACTCAGCTGACCAGCCCCTTGTATTTTATGCTGTCCATTTTAGAGCCTCCACTCTTGGCAGCTGAGCCTTAAGAGCTCTGCATCGCCCTGCCACCCCCATACAGCCCTACAGGGTCCCTTTGACACACTTGCTACACTCAGTCAGGGTTACCTTGTGTCCTGACCACAGGTGTGTGATGGATGACGACAATGAAGTGAGAGATAGAGCTACCTTCTATCTGAACGTTCTGGAGCAGAAGCAGAAGGCCCTCAATGCAGGTTATATACTAAATGGTGAGTCTTCTTGCCTGCCCAGGACCCAGCCCCCTCTTGGAGCCTTTAGACCTTCCTGCGGCCTTAGAGCAGGTGTGGTGTCCCTGACCCAAGACATCCAAGACCATACATGTTTCTCTGGACTTGTGTAGCAAACTCTTGGATTGATGTGATTTCAGAAGTGCCAGAGTCACATGGCTTGAACTTATGTCAGTGGCAATAGCCAAATAAATTGAAGTACTCCTTATGTGTTACTCTGGCTTGAACCCAGCTTACACATGCTTGGCAAGTCTCTACCATCATGTTGTATCCTCAGTCCAAAGCATTTGTTGTTGTTTTGAGATAGTATATCATTATATAGCTTAGGTTGGCCTGGAATTTTATGACAGTCTTCTTGGCTCAATGTCCAGAGTACAAAACACTCATTAATAAAAATGTTTAAGTCTGGTGTGATGGCTTTTGCTTTTATCCCAGAACTCCAGGGAGACTGAGGCTGAAGGATAGGAAGCTCCAAGTCAGCCTCAGCTACAAAGCAAAATGACATTTCAAAAAAAAAAAAACAGTAATTAAAATGGAAACTTTTGTTGCCTTAGTAATTTTTCGAGTCACTTTGTATTTACCTACCCACCAACCCTCTGGGAAGGAGGATGAAGAGTAAGGCTCAGAGGTTCCATGGTTTTCTCAGCATCAGCACATCTAGTCTTCATAGTGGGGGACCCAGGCTTCTGTCCTCCCTAGGTGCATCATGTCTGTCTGTCATGCCTGCCAGGCAGAATGACCTCTCCACTGGCTTTAGGTCTGACCGTGTCTATCCCTGGTCTGGAAAGAGCCCTGCAGCAGTATACACTGGAACCATCAGAAAAGCCATTTGACCTCAAGTCTGTGCCTCTGGCCACCACCCCTGTGGCAGAACAGAGACCAGGTAAGGTCCTGCTCATCCCCAAGGCCCATGTGTCACTCTTGGCTGCAGAGTGGACCAGGATGGGTGGGTGTGCTGAAACGAGGGAGTAGCCTTTGCCACCTCTTGCTTCAGGCAGTGGAGATAGCCATGCTGATAAACTGCTGTTTTCCTTTCATGTTTCTCTCTTGGGAGAGCTGGCATTTAGAATGTCTAAGGAATAACATGGGTTCAGCAGCAGCATGCTGCTGTGACTGGAGCTGTGGGTCACCAGCTGTACTTGCTCTTGTAGAAAGCACCGCCACCGCAACAGTCAAACAGCCAGAGAAAGTGGCCGCCACTCGACAGGAGATCTTCCAGGGTGAGTATTGGTCAGTATGGTCAGAGTGACTTCAGAGCCTGCCAGCTACTGCTCATGTGGGACCTGGTCTCCACCTCTGATTGGATTCAGAACTTCAGAGGATGTATGTGCCTCCGTGGTAGAGTGCCCACTTAGCCTGCTGGAGACCCTGCCTTTCAGCCTAGCACAAAGACTTTTTAAAGAGAGTGGGAACTTTATTGGTTCCGGGGCTCTGGGTGATTGAGTGTACTGGGGCTTCATTCATGTTGGACTCTGAGTGCTTGTAGCCTGGCTGCCAGGATGTGTGATGGAGTGTAGCTAGAGTTCAGAGACACTGATGCTGTGTTTTTGATTCCTTATGTGTTCAGTCCATGTTGCCTTATAGACTAGTTTTGAAACTGAGAGACTGTTGTCAACTCGCTCAGCCCACCTCCAAACCTCTTGTCCTGTATCTCTTCAGTATTGCTGCAGTAGCACTTCCTGAAGCCTTGTGATGCACGTAGCTGACCAGTGACTACCAGGGAGAAATCTTGCCTTATAGAAGGGAAGAGATCAGAGTCTGAAGCTGTTAGAGGTGGTCACCTTTCTCAGACACCTGGCATGTGCCTCTTCAGCTTATGAGGAATACCAGAATTAGCCTGGCAGAGTCTTGGTAGCTTTGGGCCAGGAACAGGCCATGTTGCATAGTGGGAGTCTTACCTACAGGACAAAAAAAGTTTTATTTATTAACTTATTTATTTATTTATTTATTTGTGCTGGGATTGAACCTAGGGCCTCAAGCATGCTGGGTATACGTGTTCCAGTACTGAACTGTAGCCCTTGTTATCTTTGCTATGTTGAGAGTTTCTCTGTGGCTTTGGAGGCTGTCCTGGAACTAGCTCTTGTAAACCATTCTGGTCTCGAACTCACAGAGATTCACCTGCCTCTGCCTCTGCCTCTGCCTCTGCCTCCCGAGTGCTGGGATTAAAGGCGTGCACTGCCAACGCCCGTCAAGACAGCATCTTAATGAGGTACATAGGCTAGCCTTGATTTCACTCTGTCCACGAGGCAGACCTTGAATTGGATCCTCCTGCTTTGACCTCCTGAGTAACCGGGGTTACAAGCCTGTGCTGCCATGTCTGGTGTTTCTGTAACATTCTGAAGTAGCTTATCATTAGCCATAACAGCACTCACTGTGATCTCAAGACTCAGCAAGCTGAGGCTGGAGGATCACAAAGTTGAAGCTAGCCTGGGCTACAGAGTTAGACCCTCCAAAGAAGTAGCTAATCGCTGGCCATATGCCTTAACTGGCCATTGCATAGGGTGGATTTGTCTTTCACTGAATTTGTAACTTCAACAGTACGCACCTCAATTCGTAGTCTTTTCCCTTTAAGAATCGTTGCCGAGGCTGGAGTGATGGCTCAGCAGTTAAGTGCACATGCTGTTCTTACAGAGGACCCAAGTTCAGTTCCTGACACCCATGTCAAGTGGCTAACAGCTGTCCCCTTCAATCTTAAGGGGGGGGGAGGGAGAGAGGGAGGGAGGGACGGAGGGACGGAGGGAGAGAGAGAGAACCATTGATGAACTAACGGTAAGGATTTTCAGGTGGATTAGGCTGGGGCTTGGGGTCCCGTACTGGGTGAATTGCTGCAGAGGTCTTATCTTCCTGGAGGGTTATACAACTTGAAGCAGGCAGAGCTGAGGAATGGGCAAGTGTGCCGAGGAGGAGTGAGCAGCCAGTTGGACACGCGCCTGGAACTAGCTCTTCTTTCCTGGGTGAACTTCCCTCCTGAGGAACTTTTCCTGAGGAACTTCCCTCTCAGGGATGGTATGAGGCCTGGGGGTTCAACACAAACTGGTGTGAGATCCAGAAACCAAGTTAATGTCATCTGTGGATTTCAGAGCAGTTAGCAGCGGTGCCTGAGTTCCAGGGGCTAGGGCCCCTCTTCAAGTCCTCACCTGAGCCAGTGGCCCTCACTGAGTCAGAGACTGAGTATGTCATCCGATGCACCAAACACACCTTCTCTGACCACTTGGTGTTTCAGGTAAGCATGATAACCTGAGATCCTGCTGGTGCCTGTGCCTAGGAGCAGTCCCAGATCTGATGGGTCCTGTAGGGTTGACCATTGAGTTGGTTGGGGGCACCGCTTGATGACTGTACCTGTCACCAGCAGGTATGTCTCATCCCTCTTTGCCCAGGACTTCTCTAGCCTGTGAATGCCAACCAGGCAGAGGGCTGGGAATGGGGGGTGTATCCTGGCTCTTCCCGTATAGCAACAACTAAGCCCTACTCCTCCTTATCCAGTTTGACTGCACAAACACCCTCAATGACCAGACCCTGGAGAATGTCACAGTGCAGATGGAGCCCACTGAGGCATATGAAGTGCTCTCCTATGTACCTGCCCGGAGCTTGCCCTACAACCAGCCTGGGACCTGTTACACGTTGGTGGCTCTGCCCAAGGAAGATCCTACAACTGGTGAGCTCTCTGTAGATACCACCCAGGCTCTGTGGGAGTCTGTACATCAAGGATGGCACAAAAATTCCTTGATTCAAACATGAGAATTGTTCAGGCCCGAGTTCTTTTCATATATTATCTTATTTCATTCTCATAGCAACTCTGTGAGGGTAAGTTCTGCCTATTCTTGCTCATAGATGAGGAAACTGAGGCTTAAGTTAGGTGGGTTTATTAACTTAGAATCAAAGCCTGTCTGATCTTCAAATGGGTTAGTACTCTTTCATTATAGCACACTACCTCTCAAAGACAGGCACAAACACCCAAACATCTCAAATTTATTTCTCCAGTGATATTACCAGCTTTTTTTTTTTTTCCATCATGGACAGTGGCCTGCAGCTGAGGCATGGTCTTAGCCACTCTGCATTGTCTCTGTTTCTTTGGTCTTTTCTTTGGACCTGTGACTTGACATTCCTGTCCTATGAGGTGGTGCCTTTGTCCAGCATGCTGGGGCTGATGGCATAGTGGCTGTTACTAATGCAGCCTGAAGGGCAGGACATGTCCACCTGACTGTGAAGGAGCTTGTCTTCATCCAGCCCTTCTTCCCCACAGTGGCATGCACATTCAGCTGTGTGATGAAGTTCACCGTTAAGGACTGTGACCCAAACACTGGAGAGATTGATGAAGAAGGCTATGAGGATGAATATGTGGTAAGAGGACAGTGTCAGGGACTGAGGACATGAACTGTCTATAACTTCAGTTACGGGCTCTGATGGCTTCTGGCCTTGGCAAGCACCGCATGACTGTGGCACATAGTACATATATATCCATACACGTGTACAGATTTTTACGATTTTTTTTTTTTTTTTTTTTTCTGAGACAGGGTTTCTCTGTGTAGCTTTGGGAGCCTGTCCTGGAACTTGCTCTGTAGACCAGGCTGGCCTCAGAGATCCACCTGCCTCCGCCTCCCATGCTGGGATTAAAGGTGTGCACTACCATACCACCTCCTGGCTTTTTACATGCATTTCTGATAATTTTCTTAGGATAAATTCCTAATTGGCTCAAAAAGAAAGCATGAAGACTTTAGTCACTGTAGTTGAATTGCTTTCTACGTAAATTGGGCCCCTGTGCTCTGCTGGGCCGCAGAGTCTCGTAGTCAATAGAATACATCTGCATTCACCCTTGTGTATTGTAACAATCGTAGTAGAGAAGAGCCATTTCTCAGCCAAAATGACTGAGGTGAGAACTGCCTTAAGACTTGTCCCCTGGGGAGCTGCAGCTGAGGTAGTCCTTTCACTGTAGTAGTGGCTGTGTGTTCGATAAACACCCGCAAGAACAGATTTCTCTGAAGATCTGTTGGAGGAAAGAAGAAAGAGCCTTGGTGTGGACACAGTTCAAGCTGGCTGAATGGGAGTATTAAATGTCAAGTCAGCTGAGATGACAATAGGGTCCAGCCTATGTTGGGCCTCGAGGGCACAGCTAACGTACAGAATCTGCTGAAGAATTGGCTGCTGCCTGTTGAAGGAGGGCCACTCTCACTGAGTTGCCTTGGGATGGGTCCCAAGGTAACTTTTTCTGTGTCCTTAAGCCCACCCTGTCCCCACACTGGCAGATAGATATCTGCAGGAAAGAAGGGATAAGTAGATGAGTTCAGAGCAGAGGCCTAGAAGTGCAGAGCAGGAAGTCTTTCCTGAAGTCTGACTTCTATCTGCGTTTCTCCAGCTGGAGGATCTAGAAGTTACTGTGGCTGATCACATCCAGAAAGTCATGAAAGTGAACTTTGAAGCAGCCTGGGATGAGGTGGGGGATGAGTTTGAGAAGGAGGAAACATTTACCCTGTCTACCATCAAGACACTTGAAGGTAAAATGCTGGTCATACTATCTCTGATCTGGCTGCTTTTCAGAACCCTCAGCTATTATACTACAGCTACCTCATGCCTCCCCTCTTCCCACCAAAACTCCTGGCCATATCTAGAGCACCTGTGCTGTGTGGTGGATTGCGGTTGGGCTTGGGGTTCCATGGGAAAGTGCAGGCTTAGTAAGGGTGAGGCCCAGGATTGAATTAGTACCCAACAAATACACACAGAGACAGACATGCACACGAGACTTACAGTGCTGGGGTTTCTTCCTACAGAGGCTGTGGGCAATATTGTGAAGTTCTTGGGAATGCATCCTTGTGAGAGGTCAGACAAAGTGCCAGAAAACAAGAATACTCACACGCTGCTGCTAGCTGGTAAGGAACACCTGTGGGGAGGGCCTGGGTAGCTTTACAAGTGGGCATGCCATTGGGTGTAGTCCTAACTGGGGTTTATCCTTTATCCTGTGAGGCTAGCTGCACTAGGCATGACATGATGGCTCAGCATTTCTCCCTGACTGCTGGTGTCTTGAAGCAGCACCTAAAGCAGCATTGGGGATCCAAATGTCCCCAGTGGGTCCATGATCTAACATTGGGATTCAAATGCCATCTCCCCAGCCCCCAGTGTAGTTTTAATGTGAGTTTTTGCATTTTGAATGAAGTGTCTTCCATTCATATTTCTTTTTCAGTGACTTGTCTGATGTTCCTTTAATTATCAACTTAATTGGTTGGTTTTTGGTTTTGGTTTTTCTTTTTTTTTTTAAGATTTTTATTTATTTATTATGTATACAACATTCTGCTTCCATGTACAGCTGCACACCGGAAGAGGGCACCAGGTCTTATAAGGATGGTTGTGAGCCACCATGTGGTTGTTGGGAACCGAACTCAGGACCTCTGGAAGAGCAGTCGGTGCTCTTAACCTCTGAGCCATCTCTCCAGCCCGTGTTTTTGTTTTTTCTAAGAAGAATGTGTATGGGGCCTGGCCTGTAATTTCAGTATCTGAGAGGCAGAGACATGAACTTTTGTATGTGTTTAAGGCCCAGGGCTCAAACTCCTAAGCAAAGCAAAACAAAAGAATGGCCATTCAAGCATTTTGTCTTGGAAACTTTCAAACACATACAAAACTTAAATAGTGCTTATAATGAACACTAACGGTCTTCCCACACTCAGGGCAGCTGTGCCCACTTCCCCAGAGTATTTTCATGCAAATTACTTGTGTAATTCATGTGTAAATACTTGATACCCGGTGTTTAACATAAAAAAAAGGCCGTAGGTGGACAGTTGTGGAGATGTAGCTGGAATTGAGGGGATTGGAGCTAGGGAAAACCTGGGGCCTGAAAACTGTGGGATTGAGGCTAGGCAGATTCTGGATGCAGAGTCTTGCTGTGTAGCACAAGATTCCTTGAATTTGTAATCCTGCTTCAGCCTTCAATGAGCCACCATGCCTGCTGTGTTTTGTTTTGTTTTCTCCAGTGCTGATAATCAAACCCAGGGCCTTTTGCCTGCTCGCAAAGCAAGTGTTTTACCATTAAGACACACCCAGCCTTGTTTTTTTTGGGTGGGGGGACTGGTTATTTTGTGGGTGTGAGGTGAATGTGTTTACAAACAGGATTGGGAAAATGTTCTGCTTCAGTGAGCACACAGCTCACTGCCACCAGGCTCACCCCTCTGGCCGTGATGAGGCAACTCAGTCCCCTGGGTCTGTCAAACACCTGCTTGTGGTTTTATTCTTATTAGGGTTTTCCCCCTCATCAGCACTCTCAGATTCAGCCACCATGTGTGAACCTCTAATCTGAGATTCTAACATGAGACTTTCAAATGCCTGCGCTCACTTGAGCCTGGCAGGAGCTTGAACTCACAGAGATCCACCTGCCTCTGCCTCCTGAGTGCTGGGATTAAAGGTGTGCGCCACCAACGCCCTACTAATAGTTAACCTTCTTACTGCCATCCTTTATTGTTAAGGGTTCTGGAGTTCAAAGAAGCAGTGAGATTTGCACAGGTCTCCCAACTATGCCTCAGCATAGAGGCGGCCTTTATCAGTTGCTGCATATGTCACACTTAATATAGCCTCCACAGCCCCTTCATCCTCACAAAACCCTACTTCCTTTCTCCTCTTCCAGGTGTGTTCCGGGGTGGTCATGACATCCTTGTGCGCGCCCGACTTCTGCTTTTGGACACAGTGACCATGCAGGTGACAGCAAGAAGCTCAGAGGAACTGCCAGTAGACATCATCTTGGCATCAGTGGGCTGAGGGCTGGCCTAAGCAGGCCCTACTCCTGCCTTTTTTCAACACTACGTTGAAGTAGCTTCATCCCCATGAAGCCAGTGGAAACCCTTCCCCACACCTCTGTATTCAGAAACAATCACGAATCAATACAGATTTTTTTTTTTAATTCCATCCTATCACCCAGGAATGCTAGGGTAGATTTTGTTTTCCACCTTGCCTGCAAGAAGCCATCACAAATGAATAAAATGTTCAGATTTTCTTGCATATTTATCCCCAAAGAAACTGTCTTATCTCTATAATAAGTCAGCATGTATTTCTTACAACTGCTTCTTCTGCAGGCTTGTGCTCAGGGCCTCCACTTCTCCTGGAGGCCTCCCTTCACCAAGTGGAGCATGAGGTATCCCCTTGGGGCTGTCAGTTCCAAGCTTAGGATGGGGATAAAGGCTGGCTGAATGACAACACCTAGCAGGTCTGATGACCCATCTTCAGGTGTTTATAGATGGATGGGTCTCCAAAGGGCTGAGGTCCTTCAACGGTGTTCCCTGATGAACTCTGGATTGGGGATGTCCAGAGTGTCTGCTCTGGGTCAGTCTGTGAGTGGGAAGAACAGTCCGTGTTCTCTTTTGGCTGGAGTAAGAAATCCTAGGGTATGTCCCAAGGGCCATGGGCTTTAAGCTCAAATCAGGTGGTTTTACACCATTGGAAACACCAGTAAGATTTTTAAAGAAGTGGACCTACTCTGGGGGCTATTGAGATGGCTCAGCAGGTTCGGCACTTGCCAAGACTGACTACCCACGTGGTGGAAGGAGAGAGCTGTTTCCCAAAAGTTGTCCTCTGACCCATGCACACCTTGTATGTGGTATGCTCGTGCACATATTCGTGTGCATGTTAGAACATATGCTTGCACCTTTAGGCCAAACCCCACAAGGTGAAGTGATTGGCCACACCTGAGCATAGTTAAGAAGCTGTCTGTGCTGTGACTGAACAGTAACTCATGATTTATGGTTGTGGCCCTCCATGTGCTTGGCTATGCCTGCTGTGTTGAACTCAATCACATAACATGGAATTTCCTGTCACCCTTAAGAGGTTATAAAGAGTCAGATTTCTCATTTGTTTGGGGGGGGGTTGATCATGGAGGTGCTCCTTGAAGACATTCCTCTGCCCCACCCTCCTGCATCCCTCTCCTGGGGATGCTCTGGAGCAGCTGCTCTTGCCTGTCCTTTCTCTCCCTCCCACTTCCTTCCCTCCCTCCTCCCAGCCCTTACAAAGGGCCTCTCCAGGCTTTAAAGGAAAGCCTGACCTTCCCTTTAAGGCTCCATCATGCTTAGACCTCCATTATTGTATTCTTTCTGCCTAATGCCTTCTTCTCCTACCCCCAGGCCAGATCATAGCCTGGAGCCCATTACATTCTAATAAACCTTGCTAAAGGGAATTGTGTGTCAGCTCTTGTTTTTATTTAATGTTACACACACACACACACACACACACTTACTTGTTAAAAAGGAAACAAAGTGGGACTTCCTGACCCTTAAAGGCTTCCATGTGGAGAGCTAGAAAAGCTCATTCTGGTGGCTGTCCACATTTGAGGGTGACTTGGAAGGCAGGATTGGGAAGCAGACCCGCTTCCTGGTTTCAGGAAGGAGGAAACATGGGGTCTCCTTGAGTGCTTGTCTCAAGTGTGTGTGTTTTGTTTTGCTGTATGAAGGCGCATCAGTGGAGCCTGGTGTCTAGCATGTGCCATGGCTCCTGTGGGGAGGAAACCCCGATGGCGCCTACGTCACGGTGGGGGCGGGGCCGGCTGTCGCGGGAGGCGGGGCGTTTGTTCCCATAGGAGGATGCAGAGGGCGCTGAAGTGGATTCGACCCACAGGCGGTGAGGAGGCGTGGACGCGCGTGGGAGGGCTCCCCCAAAGAGGTGCAGGCGGGCGGGTGGGCGGAAGAGAGGGCCTCTCAGAGGAAGCGGAGGATTCGATCCGGCTGAGGGGACGCGCGGGCGGGCGGAGGAGAGGGCCACGCCGAGGGAACGCGGCTGTGAGGAGGAGAGCGCCTCGCTGAGGGGACGCGGGCAGGCGGAGGAGAGGGCCTCGCTGAGGGGACACGGGCGAGCGGGCGGGCGCAGGACCGGCCAGGTGCTTAGCCGGGACTTGGCGTGGGTCAGGCCCCTCCCTGAAGCAGAACCGGTTCGCGCAGAGCGGGTTCGCGCCGGGCGGCTACCAAGAGTTGTTGTGTGAACGTAGGGGGAGCTCTCGCCTGCCTTTCCTGAAACATTAGGCCATGGAAATAAACCCCGGGGGGGACGGCTTTCTCGCCTAATACCTGAGGCCTTGCAGCTGGACTCTGGGCCTTGTAGTGGCCGCGAGAGGCTGACCCTGTTCTGATGGACCCTCCGTGAAAGATGTGGCATCGGGGGATCCTGTGGGAATGGCAGGGAGGACGCTGTGACCTAGGGAGTAAACACTTCAGTTTTGTGACTTTATAGGTCTGAGAGGCGGTGCTGAAGAATGTGCGGACGAACATCCTGTCACCTGCCTAGAGATGTTCTCACAAGGGCCTGTGCCTATCACGATCGTCAGGGCAGGCAGCAGCTCCCGCAGTGGAGGGACCCCGATAAGTACTGCCCCTCGTACAACAAGAGCCCTCAGTCGAGCAGCCCCGTGCTGCTCTCCCGACTGCACTTTGAGAAGGTAAGGACTTCTGGCTCAGCGTTGTGATGCTCCTCTAGTTCGTGATTCCTTTGAAGTCTGTCCAGCCTGAGGGATAACCTTGAAAACAGCCTTAGGTGAAAACCACTCTGGACCTTGGTAAGGAGTAAGTCTCAAACTGTTTTAATGCATGCCCAATTTATACGACCCTCATATTTGAATACATTTAAAAATCCTCTTATATGTAGCCCCGGCTGTCCTGGAACTCATTATATAAACCAGGCTGGCTTCAAACTTACAACAAATGTCTTATTTCTGTCTCCAGAATTCTGTATTACAGGTGTGTGTCACTCTACCCATCTTGAATACTTTTGTTTGTTTGTTTGTTTTTTAGATAGCAGGCTTCAAGTATTACTGTTTTATCGGTGCCATCTGAGTGTCT